AAAGGGTTGAACTCTTCCATTTACTTAAGGTTGAGTCCGTCATCACCCCATAAAGACATGAGGTGGAAAAATTAAGTATCAAACAAAAAGGACGTCTGAGTTGATAGCCACAACCTTAACTCTCTGAGCAGAGAGAAATATTTCATGGAAACCTTGGAGCTGGATGTGTTAGGGATGTGTTCCCTTCTAGACCCTGGTCCACCCAAGAGAACTGGGCAGGAAGACCACAGCAGGAAATCATATGCCCATAATATCCACTGTGATGGCACCTCCCGTGACATACTCGAAGTTCTCTGCTTTTGACCATCCCTTCTACACCCAACAAAGGTTCTGAATAATCAGACCTCAGAACCTTCACACAGAAGCTCCACAGGCAATGCCCACAAATTCAGGGGATACGACAAAGAAGTGGTTACAATTCTGGGCCTGCCAAAGAGATTTCAATCTTTTAAATTCAATCCACTTGGCCTCCTTTCAAACAGACTTCACTGTGTTACTGCCCAGATTGCTGAATGGACCCCGGGCCTTTGTCCTATGTGCTCTGGACCTTCTCGCATCTGATCCGCTGTCAGGCTGAGAGAAGGCCCACAAGGCCTGGCACGTTGCTGGTTAAGTCATTTTCGATGAGCTTGTGCTGAGTGCACACAGACTATATATCATGAGGCAAGCTCTAGCAAGCCTCTGAAAATTCTGCTGTCTTACCCCATGTCTCCTGAATACAGAAAATAAGAAAACTTACCTAAAAAAAGGCATGAGACTCAGCACAAATATATGCCTGGATGGACCGAATCAATCTGCAGTCCATTAGCTGATCCGTGTCAGGCAACGCCCATTTTCTAGCACGTTATTGCTTCCCAAGAGAAAGCATAATGTACCGTACATTTGGAAGTACTTTATAGTCTGCAGGGAATCTGTTTAGTAAGTCTGGGAGTTAGACAGGGAAGACATACTGCTTACATTGTTTTACAAATAAGAGAAATGAGATTTGCTCAAGTTTACTCAGGGACTAAGCTAAAACCCCAAACCTAGTTCTGAGACATGTAGGCCAGGGCATGTTCTACATCAACCCCCTACCTAGAGGAGAGAGGCAGTAAAGTCCAGTGGTTAAGAGTGTGGCCTTTGGATTCATACTAAACCAAAAACCCGCTGCTGTTGAGTTGATTCCAACTCATAGCGACCCTACAGGACAGAGGAGAGCTGCCCCACAGGGTTTCCAAGGAGCGCCTGGTGGATTCGAGCTGCCGACCTTTTGGTTAAACACTGAGTAGCTCTTAACCACTGCGCCACCAGGGTTTCCGGATTCATACTAATTAGGTGTAAATCTTGGTTCTGCCACTTACTGTTGTGACCTTACACAAGTTCCTCAGCCTCTAGGCCTCAATCTCTTCATCTGTAAAATGGAAATAATAAGAGTAGCTATCACATGATTGCAGAGCCCTGGTGGCGCAGTGGTTAAGAGCTCGGCTGCGAACCAAAAGGCCAGCAGTTCAAATCCACCAGCCGCTCCCTGGAAACCCTATGGGGCAGTTCTACTCTGTCTTGTAGGGTCGCTATGAGTTGGAATCGGCTCAGCGACAACGGGTTTGGTTTTTGTTTTATCATATGATTGCAGTGAGGATTAGCTGAGTAAACACCTTCTAAAAAAGTTAGAATACTGCCTGGCACATAGTCATCACTCCTGAAAGGTCACACTGTCATTCCTATGTGGGTGCTTCTTTGACAGCCTGTCAAATATCAGAACCAAAAATCAGCGAGAATCATTGTGGTATGATGGAAAGTGCTAGGTTCAAATCCTGTTAGACTGGAATGATGTTTTTAAGTTTTAATTAAAAATGTAATATATCAATCATAAAGAATATTTTATAAATAAGGAAGAGGAAAAATCCGTAATCCTTCTGTGTTACTCCAATTACCAATCTGAGCATTCCCTGCTGGATTTTCTTTACACGTATGATTTACCACAGAGTTCATCAGAGGATGCAGATAATCTGACAACTCAATTTTTTCACTTACATTACACACATTCTCCACGTTACTATATATGTTCTTCACATTTATTATTTTTAATGGATGCAAAACTTTCCTTCAAGAAGGTAGAACAAAATTAACTCATCAGTCTACTATTGTTTAACATTCCTATGGCTTCCAATCTTCTACTACTATAAATAAAACACTACTCTCAACATAAAAACCAAAAAAAAAAAAAAACCCCAAACCCATTGCTGTCAAGTTGATTCCAACTCAGAGCAGCCCTACAGGACAGAGGAGAACTGGTGGATTCAAACTGCCGACGTTTTGGTTAGCAGCCGAACTCTTAACCACTAAGCAACCAGGGCTTCCTGTTTCCTTGGGGTGGGGGTGGAGGTGGGGGTATGCTTTTATTATTTTAGGGAAAAACCATTATCTATATGATCAAAGGGGAAGCTACTGTAGAAAGCATTTAACAAGTTACAAAAATGCTATGTAACATTTTTACGTAACATCATCATTATCTCATTGGGAAAAATGAATTCCACAAAAATAGTTTAGCTTGTAACATATACGTCAAAGCTAAAAATCAAATCACCTCTATAAAAGGACCTACGCAGGGTGTGAACTTGGTCCCAGATTTCAGTTTCTGATGAAATATCCTGCAGCTCTTGCTCACAGATAGCGCTTTTCCAAGCCAGAATGCAAACCGTTTTACTCTTCTGTTATTCAGAAGTCTATTCAAAAAACATCCCTAACAGTGGTAAAAACTTGATGGAAATAATAATCATGAATGAAATGCATCACTTCCCTTCCTCCCAGGCACCAGCACTGCAAACCTGCAAATCACTGGATGCGAAGGACAGCTGTTTGAAGGAGAAAAGGCCAAAGCAGGAGGGTCTGGTGGCATCACCTCATCAGCAGCTGAGCCTCTGTGAGTGGTTTATAATTTACCCGGTGAAAACAGATAGTCAAACATTGGTCAAGTCCCCTGACCGGCATCCAGAAAGCTGTCCTTGCTTATCGCACTGACACACAGCTAGAAAAGCCGTCTAGAAGTTCCATGACCCCTTAGCAAACAGGAAGCTGTCCTCTGGAACGCCATCAGTTCACTTGCCCTTTAGAAAGAGCAAGGAGTCAGACTACAGGCAGAAGGGCTGGAGAAACGGTTCCTAACCAGAAGCCAAATCCATGCCGATTAAAAAAGTAACGCCAAGGTTATACGTTATAAGCACTCTCAGGGGCAACTTTCTGGATAGGAGAAAACGTACGTTCCTGAACGCTAGCTTACGAAATTACTAAATGAACAAAGCAAAGTCTATCAGACTCAACGGTCCTTTCATAATGCTGATAATCATGAACACACTTTGTACTAAAATTAGGCTACCTTTCAATAATAGTACTAAGATATCCAATTTTTTGACGCATAAAAAACACAGCTTATGGCAGGGACAGCCAAACTGCCCAGGACAATTCCCAGAAGTTTATCAGCCTCCAACAAGCACATCAAAGGTATGGTCATTGTGACGTGAGACAATGGAGAAAGCGCTGGGGCTGCGGCTTTTCTTAGATGCAAGGAAGGATTTCTTCTCGCCGCGCCATTGCTCCATGTTGAAGTGTTTCCAACCAGGGGCATCAAACTGTAGACTCACAGACAACACAGCTGGGAGAGCCCTTGAAAATCATTAGTCCAGTCTCCTCATTTTGCATCAAGAAACAGAGACCTGAAGAAGTTATCTGATGCCCAAGTTTCAGAGTGACTGAGATGAACAAAGGCATCCAGAAAAGATAAAGGGAATAAGAGCTGTCTGGTATCCCAGCCTCTCCAGCCCCACCGTTAGGTTCTCACCACACCCTGCTGTTCTGAGCCAGCAGGGACTTGCAGAGGTAACAGAGCAGATGTGCATTCCTGGAAAACATAATTCAGCACCTCCTCTCCCCTCTTCCTTCCAGACCCCACGTTTCCTCTTCAGGGAGCCCGCTTCCCTAGCACTGAGCTCGTGTCTCCAGGGCTCTCCACAAGGGCACACAGCATTTACGGCCTCTCTGTGGCTCTACACCCAGATTCCCCAGGCACACACTCTTCTCGTTTTCCACTACAGCCAGAGCCGTGGATTGCAGCCACAGATTCCTCTGGGCCTTTCAAGCACAAGAAGGAGAAGCAAGAGATGAAGCTGGTTGGGCTTGAAACGCAGAAATTTCTGCTAATCAGATTATGGATGGTTTGGTCATATGAGTAATTCTTCTGTGTTACATAATCCACCTTTGAAATTACCTCTCCACGTGAGTGTGTGTGTGTGTCTTGTAGTGCCCATTATGGTGTGTGTGGTGGGGGGTGTGGGGAGGGGGCGTCAGGGTGGGTATATGAGTGCCTGGAGCCCTGGTTGGCACAGTGGTTCAGAGTTCGGCTGCTAACCAAAAGGTAAGCAGTTCAAATCCACCAGCAGCTCCTTGGAAACCCTATGGGGCAGTTCTGCTACGTCCTATAGGGTCACCGTGAGTCAGAACCGACTCAACGGCACCTAACAACAGGAACAACAACATCACTGTGGTTGCTGCTATTTAGAAATAAGGATTAGGATCTCCAACATCGTCCCTTCTAATGAGGTCAATTCAGCAACTCAGGGATGGAGGTTATGTATGTGATTTCCATACAAGAACAGTTGGTTATTGCTTTAAAGGTAGCATTGCTTTATCTCCAAATGGCCATGACGTGGGTCAAATTAATATTATGAGGGAGAAAGAAAACAAAAAAACATATCCCCACGCACTTTATCTAAGATGTTAAGTTCTATTAGAGAGTCCCTAACCGCCAAGTGACAGAACTATTTCATGATAACACAAAAAAATAAGAGAGAGGGTGTTATATTGTAAAGTCACTGCAATATGACAGTCTTCCCAATGTATCACACCCGTATAAATATCACCGTTGTAAAAAGCAATTTTAAAACCAAACGATCATCTTATTCAGTTTTGGCATAAAAACATGCAACCACATTTTTCGTAAGGCTGTGTGCAAGGGAACGGTTTACCTTCCAGCATTTTTTGCAGGCTGTTCCTCATGACATGGATGTTCTCTATCCCGATAAACTGAAACTTGATGTTGGAGTAATTGTCTTCGTTCTCGTAGCCTTTCCCTGCAGCGCGGTTTGCCATCGCGTTCAGCTGCGGCCGTCAGCAAAACAGAAGAGTCACCGATTACAGTCAGCACAGGGAGCACGCGGTTCACTTCAGGGACACATATAGAGACATTCAAAACAATGTGCAGAAATAGCCTATGTTTCAAGTCACAGGAACGGCGCAGTCAGTTATGTCGACTCAGGCACTCACACTGAGCTTCTGTGCAAAATCCTACATTTGTTGGTGTGTGTAATATTTTCTTAGCTGGGAAGTATTCTAAAGATAAGCCCTTCCAGAGAGGCCTCTTGTAGTTACCTGTCAGAGATGCCCAGGTGAATGTGGAATTCTGTGCCAGAGCCAAGGTGCCCTGATTTAACAGCAAACTTTAGGTTAGCAGAAGAATATCAGCAGATACAGCAGGCAATAGAGGGCTCACTAAGTTAAATTATTATGTCTTCCAGTATTACATACAGCACACTCACTGCCAATAAACACGTCATGAGTAGGAACGGTGACTCCATACTACCTTGCCTACAAAGACGACCCCGGGTATCCAACTAAACCTTGACCAGGAATCAGTGAATAAAGAAGAGAGGAAAAGCAGACGCTAACACTCCAGAGCCATCTCTCCTCTAGCCACCTTATTTACACCTGCTCATTGCCATCCAGGTGATTCCTACTCCTAGCGACCCTAGGGGACAGGGTAGAACTGCCCCATAGGGTTTCCCAGGCTATAATCTTTACAGAAGCTGACTGCCACATCTTTCTCCCACGGAGCAGTTGTTGGGTTTGAACCACTGACCTTTCGGTTAGCAGTCATGCACTTAACCACTGTGCCACAGGGCTCTTTTATTGAGGATGTGATTGTCCACGTAGTCTAACAGCAGGCATGGAGGATCAGCAGTAATACATCCTTTCTGGAATGTATGAATTTCCCAGCTAAGGCAGAACTTGTCCCCTTTTGGATGTTAGCTACATGGGGACAGCTATGGCAGTAGCTGGGGTTAATAAATTTCTCCAAAGTTCATTATCATCTAACCGAGTTAGAATGAGGAAATGGTAATTAAATTGGGGACCAAAAGGCCCTCTTACGAGGCCTCTAAGTCTAAACAGAAAGGACGCATTATTGCTAACACTCCCGGCCTGCTGTTACACAAAGTGGGCAGCCACATCCCAGACAACGCGTTTACTGACTGCTGTCTTCCGGGGCTCACAAAGGGCAGGAAGGCTAGCCCAGTCCAGGTAGAAAACCGAAGCCAGGAGCCCAGCACCAGGGGTGGGGGGCGGTGGGAGAGTTGTAGGGGATGGGGGGGTAGCGGGGGCGGGGAGGAAGAGAAGCTGCTTTTAAAAGCACAGTGCAAAGCAGTACTAAACCTAAAACCAACCAAACCCATTGCCGTCGAGTCAATTCCGACTTACAGCCACCCCACAGGGCAGAGTAGAACTGTCCCATGTGGTTTCAGAGGAGCGGCTGGTGGATTACAAACTGCCGACCTTTTGGTTGGCAGCAGAACCCTTAACCACTGCGCCACCAGGGCTCCAAAGCAGCACTAGGAGGATATGAATTAACACCTTCCAAAAAACTAAGTGAAAAGCACGTATTGTCTGACCCAAACCCTCTTGTTTCTGAGAATCTGACAGAATTAAAAGTATCAGCACATCAAGACAGACGTCTGAGAATGTCTACTGTAGCATTATTTGTAACAGTAAAAAACAGAAAGCCCACGGAGGTATCAACAGTCAATGACGGGATAAAGGACGGCATATTCACCCCATGAACTACTGTCACTAACAGTAAGGACGTAGACCGCATACATGTTGACCTGGAACTGGCCCATGACACGTTAAGTAAAAGCGTAAGCTACAGAATAACACTTACACAAAGAACATTTTATGTAAAACAAACAACTCTATAGATATGTATTTATGCTTGTGTGTTTGATTAAACACAATAAAAAACTGCATAGAAAACTACGTTAACTTGGTAGCAGTTACAGCAGAAAGATACAGGATTTTAAGGACACTATCAATATTAAATCCATTGCTGTTGAGTCGATTCCAACTCATAGCGACCCTACAGGACAGAGGAGAACTGCCCCATAGGGTTTCCAAGGAGCGGCTGATGGATTCGAACTGCCGACCTTTTGGTTAGCAGCCTAATGCTTAACCCCTGTACCACGAGGGATCCACTATCAGCATTAGTTTAGATACTCCAGCACTGTTTGCATCCCTGTGTGGTGTAAGTAGGTAACACACTTGGCTGCTAACAGAAAGGTTGGAGGTTCAAGTCCACCCAGTCGCACCTCAGAAGTAAGGCCTGGTGATCTACTTCTGGAAAATCAGCCACTGAAAACCTTATGGAGCACAGTTCTATTCTGACACGTGTGGGGTGGCCAGGAGTCAAAGTTGCCTCCAAGCTACGGGTGCGTGGTGTGTGTATTCTTTAATTGTTTCAATGAACATACACTAAGTTTGTAATTCAAGCAACTGGAGTAAAATGAATTAGAAGCGAAAGATAAAACACCAGAGAGCAAACCACTGCTACAGGGGCTCAGGCGGGCAGACACCTCACTTCAGTAGTAGTTCTCAGCTGTGATTCAGTTCACGTGACATCAGCTGCGGAGCGCGCGCCCCGTACCGACACTGCTTCCAGTCTATAAAGATTGTCACCTTTCTCCCAGACATGCTGTGTGAGTAAGGGGTTTGGCCTTAATCAAGAGAGAATATAAAAATGTTATTTTAAGATAACTTACGTTCATGCTATAAAAGCTTAAATATTTTAAGGAGAAATTGTTTCTAAAATTACAGCTAGGCATCGTTACTCTGAAACTTAATATTCTTTTGAACTATCACTGATTCTATTATTATTTCTAAAAGCTCCTGACTTATCCTTCACAAAATACTTCATAAATAGAACAATTAGTAGGAAATGTGCATGCATGTAATTTACAATAAGCCAGGTTACCCGAGCCTTATATCTATTCCATGCCTTGTATAATTCAAGTTATACCTACTCATTACAGACCACAGAGATACTCTTTTTAAAGAAGGTAATCAATAAAAACCAAAATGTGATTAAAATTATTTTAATCTATCATTAAGAATCTATGTTCCCATTTTTAAATAGTTGAGCATCATAGATCTGGGAGAATTTATTGGTAGTCTTGCTTAAAAGCAAAGGAGTAATACAAGCTGACTCCTTAAAAGACAGCGTGCATTTCATATAATGAACAGAAGGTGGCAGAATGAAATCTACCATCCAAAGTGTAATATCTCAGGGTTTCCACATATTTTACAGGGTCCATCATGATAATGTGGCAAAAGCTGAACCGTCAAAAGACTACAGTTTTATAATTAATAAAAATTCAAGAAGCCATCTTAGCTATTTTATACATATTAAGATAGTATTTCTAACACAAACAAAACACTATTAGTAAGTCTAATTTGGTCCCCTGTCCCTTTTGCCGAGAACTCCAATTCACAACCAAAGAAAGAGCTATTCATTTCAGCTCCTAAAAATTCTCAAGCAGATAAAGCAGTAGGGGTAACTGCATTCCAATTTCAATTTAACTTTGAGAAACACAACAGACACGAAGGAAAACGTGCCCTGTGTTCTAATACAAGATCAGCCTGCTATTTGAGGATATTAACATCTTTAGGTGCAGAAAAGCTCACAAATGAGACAAAAAGAACCCGACCATTTATGAATGAATACTTAATGAACACCTCCTAGACACTGAATGGAACAGAAAGGTGAATACGCAGCAGTTCCTGTCTTCGTAAGCTTATAATTGAGTATGAGAGGTGTTCTGGATTGAATCGTGTCCCCAAAAAATGTGTGTCAACTTGGCTAGGCCATGATTCTCAGTGGTTTGGCAGGTATGTAATGATGTCATCATCCCCCATGATGTGATGTGATATGATCAGCCAATCAGTTGTAAGGGGATTAAGGTGGGATGCAACACCCTTACTCAGGTCACATCCCTGATCCCATGTAAGGGGAGTTTCCCTGGGGTATGGCCTGCATCACCTTTTATCTTACAAGAGATAAAAGGAAAGAGAAGCGAGCGAGAGAGAGGGACCTCATTAACACCAAGAAAGAAGAGCCAAGAGCAGAGTGCATCCTTTGGACCCAAGGTCCCTGCGCTGAGAACCTCCTAGACCTAGGGGAAGATGGGTGACAAAGACCTTCCCCCAGAGCAGACAGACAGAGAAAGCCTTCCCCTAGAGCCAGTGCCCTGAATTCAGACTTCTAGCCTCCTGTGAGAGAATAAATTTGTTTTTTAAAGCCACCCATTTATGGTATTTCTGTTACAGCAGTACCAGATAGCTAAGACAGAAAGGAAAGCACATGCATCAAATAATAATGGACAACACCCATCAGGACTGGGATAGGGGCTGAGGTGAGCAGTGGACAGTGACAGTGTAGGAGTTTAAATAGGAGGAATCCCATCTGCCGTAGGGGATCGGGGTAAGGTTTCATGGAAAAGGGGAGACTTGAGCTCCCTTTTAATAATCTGAAAGGATGAAGAGGAAGGGGAGGCCATTCTAGATGAGGCAGTAAGGAGAAGAGGCATGGGGACAAAAACAAGGGACTAGGTTGGTACTAGTGATCCAACCAGTCCAAGTGGAGTGGAAGGTACATAGACAGTGGCAGTAGTGACAGAGGGGGCTAGAAAGCATTTAGGGTTCATCACAAACAGGCCACAGTCCTTGGGTGGTACAAATGGTTAACATGCTCAGCTGCTAACCAAAAGGCTGGAAGTTCAGGTCCACCCGGGGGCACCTCAGAAGAAAGGTCTAGTGATGAACTTTCAGAAAATCAGCCACTGAAAACTCTACGGAGCCCGGTTCTACTCTGACACAAATGGGGTCGCCATGAGTTGAAGATGACTTGATAGTAACTGGTACTGGTATAAAGAGGCCCAATTAAATAATCAGACTTTATCTGTGGCAGTGGAGAGCAACTGAAGAATTTTGAGCAAGTTTAACTGAAAAAATTGACAGAGAAGATCCACTGGAATGGGGAGACTAGAGACAGACAC